TTCGTTGTCTTCAAGTTATCATTTTGGAGTAACCATTCCGTTAAAGATCTTTTTCGATGATGTCTAGTTCATTGTGGACTTCCTTCTCTATTGTGAAGGTTGTGGAAGGTTTTATGCTGTTGATGTGCTTCAGAAAGGTGTCTAGTTCTGTATTCCCATGGTTCCATACTATGAAGGTGTCGCCAACGTATCTCAACCAGACTTGGGGCTTCTTCTGGACTTCTTCAATGGCCAGAGTTTCAAACTACTCAGATTTTGGCTAGAAGAGAGCAGGAGCCTTACAAGGAAGAGAAGCCGTCACAACCAGCGCTTGCCCTTCCCTCCATCAGAGGATTGTCGAAAGGATAACAAGAATTGGGTCCAAGTAAGACATCAGAACCTGCTTCAGATCCAGAAACACCATTCATAGCAGCCTCACGAAAACTAGGCCACCAAACGCGGACTGCGATTCCAAGAATTGCATTTTCCGGATACCCTGTGAATGCGACAAATGCCATAGCGGTGAAACTAAGAGACTATCCACATTGCCGAGCATAAGATAAACACACAGCGATGAGAAACCGGCAAATCGGAAAAAGCAGAGCATAATATCAAGTAATCCCAAGCTGAGATCATCCACAGGGGTGAACAGTGGTTCGAGAGGAAGTTCAAAGAAGCTGCAGATGTGTTGTCCAACGACGCATTTAGCCAAGCTAGCGTAGAAATACCCAGCATATGGAAACCTGTAATCAAGCGGAAAAAGTCAACTCCTGCTAACCCAGTGAAGTGGAGAGAGGGAAGAGAGAACGGCTGGAATCGTTCGAATGATCTATGAATAGTCATCACTCAGAGGAATAGTCCAGTCATCACCTGAAGGCGATGTGGATATTAACAATCGAAACGTTGTGAAGTAAATTCGTTTGAAATATTTTTTTATTTTTATTCCATTTTTATAAAACTACTTTTTAAGAGTGTTACACAAATTTTATAGTAACTGCCAAAATGTTTATAAAACTGTTTTGTAGTGTTTGTAAAAGGCCTTACAAAATATTGATAATGACTATAATGTTTTATAAAACGGTGCCAATTTCGTATTTATAGCAGTTTTATAAACACTTCGGAAACATTTCTGGGAGGAATGCAGTTTTATAATTTGTTTCTCCGAAACGTTTCCGCAACTATTATAAAATACGAAATTGCTAGTTGGGTATGGAAAATGGCTGTTGGTGCATTCTACTGATTTTTTGGTGTGACGAAGTTTTCAATGTCCTGATCAAAAGTCTACGAATGAAAATGGGCAGTTTTTGATAAAAAAATTGCTGAAAGTCGGCAAAATGGGGAATTTGGTAGTAAAACGGGAGAAATAGGCCATGTTATTTTGCAAATTCATGCCTCTAGGAAATTGTAGCATGTGCTTCAGCAATTATTTCATGGGTCTTCGGTCTTTACAGCATTGTTTGCCAATAATTGCAGACCATACAGGGTCACGGAGTGAAAAAAAAAAATTCATAACATTATGATAACAATAGATTGTGAGGAAGTTAGTCAATGTGGATATGGTTATATACAAGATGATTCAATTATTATACAGGGGGTGATACAGGGGACAATAATGGAAGTCAATTGTGTTACATAATATGTACGAAAAATGGTGTCGCAAGATTTATTGAAGAATAACACTTTGTGGAATTTTAATGAAACAAATAATATACATTAGAATAATAATTCATCAACAAAACACCATCGAAGAATTTATTGCATATCAGTCAATGATATGAGGCACCACCTCATTTCCATTTCTATATCCCGCATCGATAATGTAGTCCAACAAGTTTGTTAACGGATACTTGACATTTGGTTCATGTCTGGCGTATCCAATGAACCAAAGAACACTTGGTATATGAGCACATGTGCCCAGTGTTCTGGCACATGCCTTACAAGTACAACAATAATCTGTTATAGGGTAATCATTTTCATTTGTGTATTGTATCCATATTATATATTTTGTCAAAATTGAAAAATGTAAAATATAATTGTTTTTCCAAAGTAATCAATATAGTACTGAGGAAATTTTATGAAATCGACCCAAAATCGTAACCTGAGGTTATTTTTCAGTGAATTTCAAAAATAATAGTGATTATTCATCAAAATATTAGATTATTCGTAGCAATAACTACATTTTTTTGGTTCCATTACTTTATCCACTTTCATCGAATGCATAAATTGTTGACGCACGGATATTTTTTCGTGTCCCAACTGTAGTTTTTCTTCCTGAATTATTATATTTTGCATAAAATCAAATTCGCCAAAAACCTGGTCTTGAAACCTATTAAGTATACTTGAAAAGGTACTAGGAGTTTAGGAGTCGGATAAAAATACGAGAAGAATTCTCTCAGCATAATATCTTTTTTGAAAATATTTCTTTCCGTTTTCAAATCCCTTTCCTATTGTGTAAATACCGAAAGAGAGACAAACAACACAGACACCAACTGACAATAAAACATCAAAGGGAAATCAAGTGTGCCTAGGGCTACAGTGGCTTTGATCAAACCGTGTTACAATCACAGTTTGACTAAATCTGTGCGAGGAATAACAATTGAATCGCGTGTGAAAACACAGTAAACTTCGAAAACATCGGAATAGCGAGTCGGAAAATGTAAAACTCTGAATATATCATCGCATTTATGATTTTCAGATGTGTAACTCGTCGTTTGATGTTATTCAGAGGGAGGGTGTAGTAAAAAGACCACTCGTCATAAAGCATTCGGGGGAGAAAAGCATACGCATAATGCCAAGTCGAAATTATCTTAATAGTATGATTGACACTTTCATTCAGTGTGGTAAATAGAGCCCGAACTGGATCAATAAATGTTTTAATGGAATTCGAATGTTATCTCGGTGTTCTAGATTTGGGTACGAATGCGTGTTACATTTCTGACGGGTGTTTTGAAGTTATCTCTGGCCAACAAAGAGAACGATGAGGACACGCACGTCGAATCAGTGAGTAATGAATTAAAGAAATATTTCAAAGATTAGAAGAAATTGCTTATGTTTCATTTCAAAAGGCGCCCAGGAAATTTTATTCGTTATATATTCATATATTTAGAATTGGTATAATGCTTGAATTTTTGTAGCTGATTCAACTGTGACATTCTGAAATCTGTCTTTTGGTTGGTTTCTGATTTTGCCGTAGTCATCTTTGGTTACAATTTCTGAATTTTGGCCAAAAACCGTCGCATGATCATCACTCAGGAATTGTTGAATGACGTCAACGGCGATCCAGATTTGCTCAATAGGGTCATAACTGGTGACGAATCATGAGTATATGGTTATGGCATTGAAACCGAAGTCCAATCGTCCCAATGGAAGAGTCCAAAAGAGCCAAGACCATTAAAAAAGCCCGCCAAGTTCGATCAAATGTCAAGGTTTTGCTCACTGCTTTCGTCGATTATCGTGGCGTAGTGCATCACTAGTTTTTGCCACATGGTCGTACGGTCAATAAGAACTATTATTTCGAAGTAATGCGCCTGCTCACTCGTCATTTATTGTTCGTGTTGGCCAAAAACAACACCGAAATCATACCTCAGAAATCATACTCACCAGATTTGCCTCCCTGCGACTTTTACGTGTTTCCAAAATTGAAGCAACACATGAAAAGATGGCGTTTTGGGACGAATGAGGGGATAAAACCCAATCGCTGAAAAAGTTCAAGGACATAAGGTGAGGTGGGGTAAGTGCGTAACGGGGGCAAGTGCGTTTATGGGCTATTTTTATTATTATATGAATCAAATTACAGTGTATCACATGTAGAAAGAGACATGCTGTTGCTGTTACCTCTTTAATACAGATATCGCAGTGAAATATGAAGAACCCGCCTATTTAACCAACCGACCGAAACAAGTATCAGTTTGTGGTAAACAATCAAGTTATGCATGCTGTTATTTTATTAATTGGATAATATTATGTTGAAGGCTGTAAATTTTGGTAAGTACATGAAAATAAGGTTTGAATTCTATTTTAGACATGAAAATATTTAGCTTTTTTTATAAGTCTACTCAAAAACTATTAACTCTGCTCTTGCCCCATTGATATTACCATCTGGGGCTTGTGCAGACCAACGTGGCGGGGAAACTGCATATCGGTCTTCTCTTGATGAAAATTTCGTAATAAGACACCTCATCAGCATCTTCCGATAATATTATAAACTGAATCATTTATTTCATTCATAATATTACGGATGAGACCAACACACTCATGTCACGATGTAGTCATGTCACACACTAGGTAGGCTCATTTGATTCCCAGCCATAGGAATCTTATTTGAATTGAAAGGGGTACAGCTTGTCAAATCTAGGTAGAGACTTGAGAATTTTCTCTCTCTCTTTCGGAATAACGGAATTCAGAAAGCTCTACCTACATTTGATAAGATGTACATTTCAAGAAGGAATTCGTTTTCAGAAAAAAGTAGTTTTTTGGCTTTCTACTTCTCCATCTTTCAAAGGAAGGAAGAACGCAATTGAGTTCGAAATAAAATATATACAAAGATGTGTAAATCATATATAGAAGTTACTTTCAGATGAGAATGAAAGAATAAGCCCCCCTCTCCTTTAAAATATACCCCTTCCAATTTATAATTGATCTGTGATTGCCGAATTGCTCTTCGATGAATTATTTATCGGTGAATTGTTTTTAAAAAAAATCATTTTTTGGACAACAATTTACTCAGAAATATCATATCATGCTGAATACTTTCCACCAATTTTCAACGTTTTCTTCTCTCTCAAGATACACTCACTTCAAAGAGCGGTACAGAAAAAGCTATTTTATCCGTAAAGGGAGGGAATCCTCATACAGCTACGGAAAGGATTCTCTTGTCGGTTTCCACACCAGCGGCCGCCAAACACGGTTGAAGTGAGCCGTGGAAACAAAAGCCAGCAGAGCGAATGCGGGATTCCACTATTGTATTTCGCGATAAACGCGTCATTTCACCCGATAACTAATGTTTCTTGTTTTTGTTTCAGGCTACGGAACGAACACTTTGTCTGGAATGACGAAAGCGTCTTTAGATCCTCACAGCCACCTCAGACAACCAGGTGAGAAATTTTTTGTTTGATAGACGGCAAACATTTCCAATGAATGAAATTATCCTCTGAACACACCCTTACATTTTTTATCGTCATCAGGAAACACCCTGTAGAATTCTTCATTTCAAAGCCCATCTAGTCTCAAAAAGTTTTCAGGTCTGTCTTGTGGGTTTCCCTGAGAGTTTTCTGTTTAAACAAATGAGATATTTCAAAATGTACATTCCGATGATAATAATGATTTCACAACATTGTTTCTCTAAGAGTTTTCTGTTTATGAGATATTTCAAAGTTCACGTTCCGATGATAATAATGACTTCACAACATTGGTAGATTTTGCCAACAATTTGAAACTCTTCACTTTTTCTTTAACAAAACCTTAAGCGATGGCAAAGGCAGATTCTGGTCCAACGTAACAACTTACCGTAGCCTTTCCTGGACAGTGTGGCTAGTAATCTAAACCAGAGACAAATTGTTGAGTCTTTCTATTGTTAATTCACTGAAAACTTGGATGTTGTTCGATAAGAACCGAATGCTCCCAAAGCTGTTTGACTATCCGGTAATATTTTCATTGATTTAAATGTTGGTTGCCACCAGATTGAAATCTCTGTTTTGGGTCTGCAACAGTGAACATCCGTGTCTAAATTTGGAGGTGTTTTTGGATCCATCTGTAACCACTAGCTTTCTGCTCTTAGTATTTCCTCGTGGAGGATCCAATCCAATTCGTAATTGAGTCGGAGATCACTCCTAGAAAGCTAGGACTGTCGATGTGAACCGGTATAACCTACATAAGCTTTTTTTGGTAACCGGAAATATGCACCATTTTGTATGTTGTCCATATAGCCTCTCTCTACAAAAATATGCGGAGAAGAGATATATTTGGAAAAATTGTCATGACTGCTATCGATGTAGTACAGGAGACACCAAAGATTGTTATAGAGTTTTACCTAAGCCGAAAGCTCCTGTAGGAGCTCCTGTAGGAGCTTTCGGCTTAGGTAACTCAGGCATCTCAGCAAATTATGAACTGGGATCTGTCTGCTTGGTAAGATGTCACTAGCTCTTCCCCGTCTCTGGTTCTCGAATATTGTAAACTGATACCGATTTTTTAAGTCCAAGTCTTTCCTCACTAATCGTTTTTAATTTGATCTCTGTTAAGTCCCTGGTATTTATGTTACATATATGTAAACGTTTTGGGGAAAGTTATACATATCATATAAGGATATGGACAAAATTATCTTCATCTACTGATATATAGGAGTTCAGAAATGTTTATGAACAGTAAAAATATTCCACGGTATGACAAAATTTGTCATTAATTTGAAAGTTAAATTAGTTAAACATTCACTATAAGGGTTTTACAAAAACCGCGACACTTGTTTTGCTATACAATAGCTTCTTCAAGCATAACCTTGCATATGATTGGTTATGCTTATAGTGAAAATCATACAATAAACTGTATTGATTACTTTTTTAATATGGATTTTCACCAAGTATCGGCCAGTTCTATTCAATTAGTTAAACATTATTATAACTATACAAATGTATTTGTAACAATATCAAATATTTACAAACATTCAAAACTATAACGTTTGGAATTGAAAGTGATTTTTGTAAGTGGGGTTAATAATTTCACCCTTACTATTTTATTCCGTGTATTGTTTTACATGGATAATATCTTCTTCAGTTTTCAATATGGAAGTTAGGTATACAAACTGAGATGAAAGTTATTTCAGATAAGTTCTTTCTTTCAATGTGTACCTGTAAGAAACAACTGAGAATAATTAATATGTTAACATATTTCATACTTTTATGCAAGGTATGTGAATAACTTTTGAAGTTATTTCCTATATTCTCTTACAATCCTTACAATTTTTTTCCATGATGTGTTATACATCCTTTCACTTCACTTCTTTTTTTACTGCAGCACTTATATCACATCTTTCAACCATATATTTCTTCGCCCGTCTTTTCTTTTCCTGAATGTTTTGTTCAATACTTTCGAAAATCAAATCCAACAAAGTTGATTTTCTCCACTCCTGGCGAGACGAATATCGTCAGAAAAGAGGAGGAAAAACGGATAAAATATCGAGATTTAAAGATTTAAAGATAATTTTAATAGATTTCATTGATATTCGATAATTTTTTGTTTCCATTTCAAACTTTCCTATTATTATAGAGGAAGTCAAAAAGAGGTTTTGCTTTTCTTAATGGTCACAGTAAAAAATACATACATGCGTTTATCGATTTTGGCGAAGGTGCTAATGTTAGTAGGATGATATCATTTTGGCTAGATCTAGAACACTGATAATGAAACTGTTAATGATTGAATGTATAAGAAAATCACAAATCTTCGTTTACTTCTCAAAAAAACATCATGACCAATGAAAATGTCAGTGTCATTCGAGTAACAAATGTTCAAAATGATTGTTTTCTATTTGGTAAACCACTTATCATAGTTTATATATTATTTGAAACAGCGGACAGTGTTTCTGGCTCTTGGCTTCATCAGCGCGGTGTAGCCAAGGGCAAAGATAGGCAACCCTTCTTTGCAGAAAATGGAAAGATAGCACAAACGAACGGAGTCAACAACAGGAGCCTACCGCACATTTGTGATCCTATTCAGAAGACCTAGAATTCCTAGAATATTCTAATATTACCACGGAGGGACCTACAGCTACCTGCATGACTTCCGAGTTAGGATATTAATATGAAAAGGGTGTTATTGAGTGTCTATGATTAAATTAAAAAGGGGAAGATTAGTTGAAAGAGTACTAAAAAAATGATGGCTAACCGCGGACACGTGTTTCTGGCTATTGGCTCGGAAGTCACGCAGTTGCAGTAGCTGCCTCTCTGGTAATGTTATGATATTCTAGGAATTTTAGGTCTTCTAACTAGAATCACAAATGTGCGCTAGGCTTCTGTTGTGGACTCCGTTCGTTTGTACTATCTTCCCGTTTTCACAACCAAATTTTGTCTATCTTTGCACTTGGCTACACCGTACTGATGAGGCCAATAGCCAGAAACACGTGTCCGTGGTTTGCCATCAATTTTTCTTGAGTACTGTTCCAACTTCCAAATGGAAGATTCGTGCAAGTTATTATCATCTAAAAGGACAGATGCCTGATGGTTATACTTCAGCTTTCTGCCCAGCATTAGCTAGGCATTACCTTGTTCAGTTTGAATAGATTGACTTTCTACTGATATTCACCCTGTACAGTCTTCAAATATACTTGATCTGGCTTCTATCACCTAATGAATCGAGGGCACTTTTTCTTAATACACATCAAACGGGGCAGTGTTCACATATGACTAAACTAAATTGCCTTCTTTATTTGCTCACACATTCTCCTCTGTTTGTCTAGGACTACTTGCAGTAATGCACGACTTTGCTTTGTCAACATTGAGGAATCCGACGTTGACTCGCAAAAATCTTTTTCGCGACTGGGAGTTCGAGTTGGGATATCGGATTCCCAATATATTTGATAAATGAAAATTTTACGGATCACTGCGGATTATGTTTCTGATTGGTGGGATTTGTTTTGGAATATTCCTATACGAATAATATTTATTGAGTTCGATGTTTTTCCGGAATGGTGATGATTCGTAAATAGATGTTTTGTTGATGGATATGAAAAAAAAGGAATGTTTGAGCACTGCCATTCGATAAAACTCAGTTGCCTGGTAATATTGAACAATTAATGTTTGAATGCTGTTTTGTGACTTCTTTTTTTTATTCAGTCATGTGCATGATCTATAAATCATCCTGGAGAATTTTTAATAATAATAATGAAGATGATAATAATAATAATAATGGTTATAGTGAGATGCATTGAACAACTGATTCCACGCCGTCGAACTCGCTTTACCATAACATCTGGTCAATCCAGAGTCCAAACAGGGTAGGTCACTTTCAGAAGGGGTATATTTCAGGGCGATTCCTTCAGTCCCCTTCTCTTCTGCATCCCACTATTGCCATTATGCGTTATTGCCATTATACTCAAGGGGATAGAAGAGTACACGCATTCTATCGGTATGAAATTCCAGATAGACAAATGTGCAATGGTCCATCTCAAAAGAGTACGATGCGGGGACTACAGAAAGGATATGCAGCTCGTAGATGGAAGCATCCTACACCATCTAGATGCCGTAGAGACGTATACTTACCTCGGGGTGGAACAACGCCACTCATAAGATATAACAGCAGTGAAAAACTCTTTCCGCGGCAAGTATCAGCACAAACTTCGCAGATCTGGTCATCGGAACTGTCGGGGAAGAACAAAGTTGTGGCAACAAATATGCTTGCCGTTCCAATCTTACTCTACTCATTTGGAGTGGTGAAGTGGACTCGGGAATAGCTGTCCCGAAAAATGATGCATCTCTATAGGAGTTTGCATTCCAAATCATCCGTTCCACGGTTGTACTTTCCCTGACAACAGGGAGGCCGTAGACTTTTGTGTTTGGAGTATTTACCTGACAAAGGTACTGGGTATAGCCTGTGAAGTCGTGAGGAGTTCGGATCCCTTTCTCTGCATAGTCCGTGACCATGAGAGAGCATGAATTGGAGCAGCTGAGCCCGAGCAGCTGATGAACTCGGTTTAGTTTTCGATACTGAATGAGGTGACCACAACTCTGTCACCGAGTTGGAACCCGTTCAGCAAAAAGCTCAAATAAAAGCCGCAGTCACCTCACTTCTGCGGAAACACAAGGATAAGCAAATGCATGGGCCTTCTTCAATAACATCGAAGACCTTGGCTCATCAAAGCGCCTGACTCAGGTCTGACTCAGGTCGAGTGCTGAAGTCAGAAACTGAGAGGTTCATTATGGCTTGTCAGAATGATGTCTTCAACACCTTAGTCTACCGCAGTCGCGTGATGGGTATAGAGGTTCCCGACACAAGATGCAGGGCCTGCCGCGAGGCGCCCGAGACCCTAATGCACTTGCTATCAGCATGTTCATGATATGCGGTCTAGGCCTATATTCATCGACATAACGCGGCCCTAAGAGTGCTATAT